TTTATTTTTCTCAATTATTGTAAATTTTCCATGCTACCTCTAATAATCTATCCAAATTCTGCAGCTCCCTTCAGTGCCAAATGTTTAAAGCACATTTTGGTGGAAGTACATGCGGGGCAACGTTCCTGAACCTTTTTATCCTTTACCATAAGAGACATCGCTTGATTAATCAGGCCACATTCTTTTTGCCACTCCGTTTTTTTTTCTCGCAGATAAAAGAGCAGACCTACATACGGAAGCTCATCCCATTTTTCTTCCCTTTTACAAAATAACATTAATTACAAAATAGTATCATAACTTAAGGTCCCATTCAGGGGCCACATTTCTTCATCTTCTAATTTATACAATGGCCATTCATGATTACAAAATTCAGTAAGTTGACTTTTGCTTAATTCATCATGCACCTCTTTCCAGTGAGCTAAAAGGCAACCTAAGGGAGTGTTTCTTGGTATAGAACTCTTACTCCCTCTCCCTTCTTTAAACAGATTTGAAAATTTAAATGCCATAGCAAACTGACAGTATACCTTTTTTTTTTTTCAACCAGCTTTTGTTCTGTCCTTTCGCTTCACTTATCTCCGGCTGCACCCCTCGTGGGATAACAGAACCACGGATCAAAGCTCCACTCTCGCTTCTTGCGTAATTGCAGGTCTCAGTCACTCATTCAAGCATAAAACCTCAACAGTATTTCAACAGTGTTTCATTGTTTCCTGTATTACCAAAGTTACAAAGTTACAAGATTCAGAAGCACAGAAACAAATTACAGAATACGAAAAATAAAATTTTCCGTGTCAAGACCAGAGAGTACCTATATGAACACCAAAGTGTTCCTGACCAGAGGTATACCAGTGAGGTGCCAGCAACCCCGGTATACGCTGTTCCACGCAAGATCCCACGTCTCACGATTTATGAACAGCCCAGACCCTCTTCTAATAATCCTTGCCTTATTCCTCGCAGTGACTCAATTGAGATAACGAGTCCCTCCGGGAAAGTTCCCGGGAGCGCCCAAGAGAGTCCTATTCTCAAGGAGTCCCGCGGGCCCCGCTCCTTTAATTCCCTTTCACCACTGACACTGATGCCAACCCCACGAAACTTTCGTATTCACCTTACGGGCAGCACCTAGGCTTCCCCTGCTCGGGAATTCCCTAGCCCCAACCACGCGGAACTTTCACTCTGTGTGACAGGCAGGCTTTCCACTGATTCTGAAGAAGTGCCTTACCCTTCCAGGAGACGTTGCGAGGAGCTTTATGGGTCAAGAACGATGGCTCTCCCAGAGAATTCCTCGGTGCCGGCTGGAGTTCGATCAGAGCTCGATCCCGTCCAGTCTCACTCGCAAGGTCCCATCTGGGTTGCCAAAACTGTTAGCGGTCGCAATCGCGAATAGAACTTATCTACACACAGCAGATAAGCAGGCACTTCTTTATTCCAGCGCTGGGGAACACGGGAGATAACTCCGCCAAAGACGTGTTCGCCAACAGGTACAAAGCACGACATATTTATACACTTTTTCAGCAGAGTCATGGTTACATAAGATCAACAAAATTCATAAAGTTTAAGTTGACCTTAATAATGATTGGCTTTCAGTTACCTCACCTTACCTATATTCCTATTTTACAGAAATCATTGGTAATCTTTACTGATTGATTTGAATAGAATGGGGGGAGGGCAATGATTAGCATATTCATGTTATTTCCTGGAAATTATTATCATATGCAAATATCTCTAACGCATGCGTGGTTATACTGGACGGGGGTCCTCTGATGGTCGTTGATAGTCTTCATCACTGTGTCGGCTGATTGAACTCCATCCCTGCGCATGCTCATTTTATCTATGGCTAACACTCACCTCTCCCTTGGCCGATCTTCCCAACCAAACCAGTTTCTTCTGGGACCTATTGTTTCAAGTCAGGATCCATAACCAGTACCTATTGTGTTAATTCAGAGTCCATAATGATTGTTCAAGCACACAGCATACTAGTTGCTGAATCCTAAGGGCCTCAGTGTACTTTATATTCTCATAGCTACTGTAGCTTCATGTTAAATCAAAATCATACTTTTAAACTAAAATCAAAATAATATTCTAGGATTCAAACTGTTTTATTAAGGTAACTGCAACACTATCAGTCTCTTTCCAGGCACTCTCAGAAATCAGCAAAACATATTTGAAACAATAATCTAAGTAATGCTGTCACAATCCATTGCAGTTGTTTACAAAGGCATTGCTTAAGCAGAAAATAGAAGCATTTAGAGAATATATTGTATTATGAAATATACCAGAGCAGCAATTTTGCTCTGCAGCCTGCTGAGAACTAGTAGAACAGTCCAGAAGCAGAGACATTATTTGCTGCATGAGCCGTCAGCATTTTTCACAACAGCAATAAGGTGCAGTCTTAAAGCATCCATAATCAAAGGCTTTAGTTCCCTTGAATGCAGCAGTTAAAATTCAGGCATGGGGCAGTGAGCTTTGCATCAAAGGAGTAAATAAATTAAAAAATAGCCTTAAAGACTTAATGCAAATGAAGCTTCCTTTCCCTCAGGTGTGCAAAGGAACAATTACATGCCACAGTCAGAGGCAGAAAACAATAGGCAAGGCTCTAAGGGTAGCATCTCCTCATGGAAACCACCCAGTCAGTCTTCCTGTTGTAGACAGTTGCTTGGATTTTTGTTCTTTCCTTATTTTCACTGATATATGTTTGTATACATCATTATACACAACATATGAAGCACCTACATGTCTAATTCAAACCTATCAATACGCTATCTCTACACAGTGACAGTACAAGAATACTGTCATGTGAAAGACTAGGTATGTTTAGATAGACATGGCCCACATCTTACTCTAAGTAGGGGAATCTCTCAGAGTACTTTTGTCAACTTTTTTATCCACTAAGGCCAGGCCGTTGCTTGAATTTCTCACAGAAAAGCTATCAAAAGGACATTTGGAGTTTAAAAAAAAAAAAAAAATGAGAAAAGAAAAAGCTAAATGATGTTCATGTTAGACATTAAAGACATGCAGGGACTTTTTACATAAAGGTGCATAGACTATGATGCATTGCATTATATCTCTATTCAGACACTTATTCAGATGTGGAACTGGATTAAACTTAACTCAGTTGAGATCAGTTTAATCCTGAGTGACTATGTTTATATCAGGGTTTAAACAGCTGAATTTATCTATTTTACATTCACATGCACAATTAATATAGATTTTTTTCCTGACTGCTCTAATCTCAAGGAAAGCCCAAGGAAGTTACTGAACAAAAAGAGGTATTACACTTTTAAGTACTGATTTTTATAGCAGAATACTCATCAGTAGAATAAGAAAATATCAATTACATATAAAATAAGAAATACTATTTAGGGCTTTCTCACACTGAATTATCTCTTGGGTAAAAAAATGCAGTTGGCTGCTATTAGCTGCAGGGCAGGCTTATGCTTTCAGGGCTAGCTAACACGACTATTAGCACAATTTCTTGTTGAGAGGCTCGGGAATTTCAGTCAAACTGGAATTGTTTTTACTCTTATTTATTAGATTAGCACCATGTTCAGGTAACAAAGGTAGATACACATGTAAGTCATTTCTCCTGCAAACCTGAGCGATTTCTTCCATGATATATGTGCCAGTTAGAGACCACAACTTGGGTACAGCACTAAGTGACTATGTACTTCTGCTTGCATAGGAGAAGAAAGCTTCTGTCATCTCTTAACTACTCCAGCACTTACAGAGTTCAGAAAATCTGTAATCACACTCCCAAGAAACAGAACCCCTCCATTCAAGCACATCTTCTCTAGGCTCCTGTAATAGCTGCTGAAAATGCAAGAAGAAAAGAAGCAGGCTGAGCCAGGCCCAGCATTGGTTAGTTCACAGACAGATGGAAGCACCTAGTAGCACAAAGTTCAGGGAAGTGTTAGAACTGCTAATAACGAGAGCATGGAAGATTTTAAAAATATAATGCTTGCTCAATTAGTGCTAACATTTATTCACTTTTAAGTGACTATACACAGGCAAAAGGACCTTTCTGCTATAAGTCTCTAATTCTGGTATTTAAATGAAGCTAGTAAGGGGCAAATGCCTAATTTCTTCAGGACAATATGTTGGTACTATCAGTGCAAATAAGAAATATGTGTATCAATAAAACCTTGACTTCAAACCAGCCCACAGTTGTTGGCAGTTTCTAACAAGCCAATAGCAGGAATAAAAGCCCTTTATGCTGAGTATGTGATAGCTTCACAAGCTATCAATTTGCATTACTGCATGGAGATACTGCAAGAATTTCAACTACTCTAGCATCTGTTTTGCAGCTTTACTGTATTATCTTGACTAGGCATTTCAATTTTACTTAAAAATTCCCCTGTACCTTTGATCTGTTCAGGTATTAAAATAAATCTCAAGGATCTTGAAGAAAAAAAAGCTCTTGAAGTTATGAAGAGGGCAATCACCAAAGTTTGACAAATACCACAATAGACCAATTTTTTCAAAGGCAAAACATATTCAGTTAATTAATCAAAGCTTCCTGTAAGTAAGAGAACTTTTTTTCCCCTAGTAGCTCACCAAAGTAAAATAAAATCAGAACATGTGTGGATATGCTTTTCAATCTGGCACGTGTCTATGTAAATGTCTGTGTTCCAAAATGCTGCAGTCAGTCCCTGTGCACCAACATCACCAGGTAAGGGTCGGATTGAAAGTAACACATCCAGGTTGAGGAGTACCTTTCCATCCACAGATACATAAAGACATCAGGGCACCTGTGTCTTTCCTCTTTGTAGCTGAAGCCATTTCATTTACCAGCTGGCAGTCACTTGCCATACACTTGTCACAGACGCCATCCTGTGCAGTAGAGCAATATTCTGCACTAGGCTTGTTTTGAGTAAAAGGCCGACTGTGACAATGCAATGCCAAACCACCATTGTTTCAGTCACACTGTTTGTTCAGTGCTATATTATGAAAGCTAATTCCTTATGTTCTTGGGGAAAAGTGGGACAATAACTTCCAGCCTGACAGTATTTCAGTTAGCTTCTCTGCTTTTATTAACAAGCATATAATATTAATTGGCAAAACACTGGATACAAGCTTCACTATCATCAAATCAAAACATTAAGCAATAATCCCAAAAGGTTTATTCAGACAAAACTAGCCACAAATAGTACAAAAAATTACACAGCAACGCAAAGCATAAAAAATTGTAAACTTTCAAATAAAGCTAAGCCAAAAATACAGTTTTACACTGTGACAGTTCCAGAATCTTTATTATGCCACATAGGAGGATAAAGGCTTAGTGGTTGCACTGGCTTATTGTCCCTTAACTGTAAAATAATCTTGTTGCAGAAGGAAAGAACAAACTCTCCTTTTGTCCAGATAGGTCACTTGAATTCAAGATTCTATTAAACAAATGCTTTGAGTTTCAAATAAAAAAAAAACCAAAACACTGGAACATCAGTATGCAAAAAATCAGGGCTCCTTCCTTTGGCCACACCTAACCGTTTGCATGAATGATATCCCTGGCTTCTGTGGAACCATCCAGGTTATTAGTAAAGTTACAAATATAAACGTTCATAGAACTGGACATTTAGTTCCTACCTTACCACTAGGATCTGGACAGGTCATTGTGGCTTTGAAAGATTTCCAAGAAGCCCTAAGGATGATCAAAGAAAAATCAAATAGCAGGACCAGAGCTTTAATTTGTATATAAATGAACCATAACTCCACAGTAAAACATTACTGTTGACTTGCCACAAGATGCAAGTTCCTAGAAAGTGTCTGTACTGTTTGCAAGTTTGGATGAAAGCAGGGATTGAACCACTGTCCATGTTTCTTAATGTTCTTCTTGCAACTTTTTACTTCAACAACAGATCTCAAGGCCTTAGTTACAGTTGTTTATATCTTATGTAGAGATTCTAGAATATGAGACAATTTTTCTTCCCTGTTATTAACTTTAGGCAGACTAACTGAGTTGTAGGTTGCATTAATATATCCAGTGGAACATCCAAACTGAAATGATTACCTGAGGAAATACAGAAACTTGATTTTTCTGTACAGTCAAGCCTTCTGTACAAAATGCATTTTAAGTACTTATTCATCTTGCTGATGTACAGACTGGTTGGCTTTCTCCTATTTAGCTCAACGGCAAGATGCATAATGCTGTAAAATAGGTTAATTATATGGTTATATTTATCATCTGGTAAAAAAAACTCAGTGAATCTCCTAGGACTACCTATGATGGTATAAAGACAATAAGAGCCAGATAAACTTTCAAAGGCTGATAGCCTATTGAAAAAAACCAGCACCATCATAGTTGTAGTCTGATATTTTTATGGTCCCATATCCCCAGAGGTGATAGTGTTGTGTATACTATTGCACAACCAATAAAAATAAATATTCCCAGGTTTCATGGTACACAAATATACCAGACATAACAATGGCACAAAACATTTTCAGATAGGCTGCAAGTCTTGCCGATTGCTTCCACAATTCATATAAAGGTTTCTTGCAAGATCATTTATTTTAAAATATTGCTGACAGATAGTTCTTGTACTTACACAAATTTAAATCCCACATTTCATTCTTAAAATAAAAAGAGGAAATTAAAAAACAGTCCCCCTCAAATAATAGCCCCAAATAAAACCCCATTTGAACAAGTGAGAAAAACCATCTACATTCCTTTTAAATTTAACAGTAAGTAGATGCTACATTTACAATTTAAACATATGCCTAATAAATGCATGTTTCAAACCTATTGCACAAAAGCATAAGTAATGCTCTTAATCCATACAAAACAAAAACATACAAATAAAAGCTACTCAAACTCAATGTAAAAGGAAGAAGCTTGTAAAAACATCTTACAATTTCATTTTATATGCCCGTAAATAAAGCTGGACCACTGAAATAAAAAATACTTGGATGGTAAAATAAGACAGAAGGCTTAAAATAGAATAAATAATTTTATAAAGTTAAAATTTAAAACCCCAAATCTTATTTAAATTCAATATTATATATTCTATCTCAATTCTCTATTTTTAATGAAACTATATTTCATGAGACTCTGAGCCTGGGTCAGTCTCATTGCTGCTGAGGATAATGCAATAAGATACTTCTTTACGGCAATTATTTACCAGCGTAAGCAATTGTGAAAACTACTTCACAGTAATGGCATCTTCACAAAAGCCAAAAAAACCTAACATGATTTCACTAGGCCTAAGAGATAACTATGCTGAGTCCAGCTTTTAGTCCAACTCTGAACAGTATCAGGGTTATTTTACCCAACATAATGTTGATATAAATTCACTGTCTCTTAAGCTTCACAGAAGTGAAACAAGGCTCTGACCCAAAGGACACCTCCCTCTGGCCTCACATTGCATTGTAGTTTTTTAGTAAGGCTAAAGGGAATAAACCTATGGTCCAGACAGTCACATCCCTCCTGAGGGAAAGAGTTTCTGTAATGAAGAAATTCTGACGTGATTTAGAAAAATAACTGGGTGGTTTTGTTTGTTTGTTTGTTTGTTTGTTTTTACTGGTGAGGTTTTATCAGATTAAACACATTGCAAAAGCCATTACACACAATTATGAGTAAAAAATCCCAGATGTAGGTATTGGTACTGGCTTGAATTTATGTATACATATATGTATAAACAGAGTTTTCAATATATTGATAGCACCATCACAAATTCAAGTGATTCTAAAGATGCTTATAAACTTATATGTTCTGTATTGTACATTGTTACAGCAAGATATAGATTTAAAAGGCTTCTGAATTTGCGTGTTTGTAACTAATTTCTCAGTTGTACAAGTACATAGGAAAATACTAAAATCCCAGTGTACTTTAACAGCACTGCATCAATATCTAGTCATACATAACGTTTCTGCAGTACACACACTCTGAGGTAGACAGATCTCACACACACACACATATATATATACATATGTATTTGTTTTTATGTGTATATATATCCTGATTAAGGTGGTTAATCAGAATTCTGTATGGCAGCTTTAATTTTATGTCTACATCAGGTACAGCCAGCGTCTGTATACTCAGCGTGCACAGAAGGTGGACACTTACAGTGCTGTTCGTATCTCAGTGCCTCAGTGACTACAGCCAGTCCCTTATTTACACTAGGACAGTGACAAGCACATAAACAGCTCCAGAAAGGCCAAATGTGTTAGTTTGTGTACACATCCATATCAACTGCATTCACTATTTCATGAAAAAGTTATAAAAATGGTAGACCCATGATCTTGTTTGTTCTCTTCTGATAGTTTGAGTAATGATACAGACAGAAAAAAAAGCTAAAAGACATATATCTGAGTCCACAAACAGTAAGACAAAACCAGAGCCAAGTTCAATTCCATTTTGCATATGCATGCACACACATACACACAAGCCCAGCCACCCAGCCAAATGTGGAGTTCTGTGTAACCCAAACATTCAAATGCAACTATCCTGTACCCTGATCTGCAAGGACAGTAGCACTTTTTGGCCATTATGTGGCTCTCCATCTCCACAGTTCAGTAGGCTCCCTTTCATTCTCTGCTCAATGCTTTTTGATTTCCCATTCACATCTGTGACTGTAATTAAAAATGAGGAACCCTGTTTTCAAAGGTAAACACAAGTTGGGGCATCCCTTCTGCAGCAGCAGACCTAAGAAAGGAGGACTGAAGACTCCAAAGAAAGAAATTATGGGACACATACCGAGGAATATGGTGCTTTGAGAACTCAAAAGGACGAGGATTTAAAATGCTTGGATAAGCCTCTTGCTGTATCAGCTTCCTGTTATGGAGTAACAAGTAATACTTTCTAGCAGAAGAGGGGAAGGAGTACAGTTAGAGGAAGCAGGGCAAACTTGTTTTCTTATCCAAAGACAATTTATCAAAAAAAAAAAAAAACAAAAAACCAGGGTTTAATAAGAGGAATAGCAATTAACATTTTCAGCTGACAGGAAAACTTCCAAAGGTTAAATCTTTCCAGCTGCCAATAATATGGCATAGCCTGTTTTCAGTGACTTGACACCCGTGCCAGACAAATACTCTCACAACCATACTGTATACAGCTTGCAGAAATCACTTTCAACTATTGTTTTTAAAAAGCCAACTATTTCAAAAAGCCTTACAAAAAGTGCAGTGAACCCTGCTAAGTGCTATTGAGGATGCATTCTATAACATATATAGTTATACGTGTGTATAGATGTATGCACGCATACATACATGCATGTGTATTACCTTGCATCCATTAGGGCTGATGCAAGCAAAATTATCAGTTAAGGCCAGAAGGTGCTAAAATAATCTTGTCTGACAGTCCCTGCCCCTGCCCCAAGACAGCTAGGAATTGTGCTAAAGAAAATGCTATGTTTTCATAAGAAAATGGGTAAAGGAAATATAAAGCTACCCACAATAATCTAAGAAATTTTTAGTCAGTGACATTAAAACTGTGCAATATCACCCAAAGTTGTCTAAGAGCCGGTGTTTCAATACCTAGTGAGAACAAATTATCTCTAAACTAAAAACTGATTTCTGCAAGCCACAACTATATAAGAAATGTTTATTTTTTCAAAAGGTCAAAAATCTAGCACTTTTGAGTACTTGTCACTATGTGGTGAAATTTATGCCACAGCAAAATATCAGGGCATATTAAAATAAATGGAAATAATTTCTATTAATCTTACCAAATCAACATGCATAGGTGAGTGTGAAAACTTCACTAAAACACAAAGTGAGGGAGAGCAATAACTGGGCAAAAATTACAAACCTACTGGTTTCTCAGATTTTCAGCAGTTTTCAATGCAGCATAATAAATTATCACCAGTCACTGCATCATTATGTATGCTCAATGCTCTGCAGAATAACTTGAATAAAGCCAATGCAATCAGGCATACTATACAAGACAGGAACACTTTGCAAAAATATAGTTTTTAAAGATTCAAAACGTGAAAAGTAACTAAATGCAAATTCGTGTCAAAAACAACATTTTTGAATCACCCCACAACATTCTAACTTATTTATATGTAACTGTAAGAGATAAATCAGGCTGAGCTACATGGAACTGTGAAGTGTTTTCAGTATCTGTAAACTTAGTGCTGGTAGTGTCTTGTTGAGTTGCGACTTCTTTCTTCCATACAAAAAAAGTATAAATATTTTCTGTCCAGAAATCTAGGTAACACATCCCTAGAAAAAATATCCAGAAGGACAGTCCACTATGAAAGCCCTACAGTCTTCCAAAATTATTCAGCTGGTTTGTGTCATGTGATTAGTGATGCACTAAGAAGGTGCCAGATGATAGTCTCTGCAAAAAACTCTGTCCAGAAGGACAATACAGTTCTCTTATAGCAAGTCCATTTTGGGTCTGTAATGTAGCAGTAGAGGTGCTTTCTGCAAGAAGAGAAATATCAGGTAAGTTAAGAAACAAAACCAGAACTAATCTGTTCAGTAGGCAAAATTTTTGTTTCATAAACTAAATCTATCCGACCCATCAAAATTTCACCAAGACAAGATACAATTTCATCTGTGCTGATCACCTTGTGATCAGTCCTATCAGATGTTTAACTTGGAAAACTCATTCCCAGAAAGCAGAAATGCAGATGTCTAGAAAGCAGCATAAGAGCATGTGGTACTTCATATTTAACAGCTCTTGCCTGATTCCTCTTCTGTCAAAGTATCCCTTGCTTTTTTATGAATAGGTAAACTTCTAACATCCTCAACATCCTGCACCAAGGAGTTCTGTGTATCACGTAAAAATCTGCTTCCTCTTGTTTGTTCTGGACCTCCCAGTTTCATTTTACATCCCCCAGTTCTTTCACTTGAGAAAGCAGTTTACAGTTCCTTTTCCCATGTGACTCACAACTGCATAGGTTTCCATGAGCAAGGTGAATAGTAGACTTGTACAGATGCACCTCAGTTGGATGCTTGTTTGGTTCTCTTCCCTGTCACCTCCTCCCCCGCAAAAATCCGTAACATTTACTTTGTATCATTTTATAGTTACCTACATTGAACTTAAAGTGCTCATTCACCTGTCACTCTGAATTGTAAAGGCTTGCTTTGATCTTTTGCTATGAGTCTGTCTTTACTATCCTAAAAAACCAGTGTTGTCAGTGCACTGTTACTGCACTACTCAGATCCCTTTCCAGGTCATTCAAGAACATCATATGAAACAGACTGCAGTCAGATTCCATTCATAACCTCTCCGCATTTCAAAGACTGACCATTGACTTCTAGCCTGTGACTTTTATGTAACTCAATTATTTTTCTACACAAAGACAGAAAAATGCTTCCCTACTCCCTTCTTCTAGATATGCAGCCAAAGTCATGAAGTGGTTCTATGTCACTGTACACTCTAACCTTGGACTGTGCTACTTGTTCATTATGAATACTAACTCCTAGTTCAAATATCCCCAAATACACATGCACTGACTCTGTAGGCGTGACTTGCCTCGTAAGTGTTCAATTTTGCAATTCATTCTTATACCCATTTCACTTGAGCTGACATTATTAATGTGGTAAGTAATGCTCAGCATAAGTGACCCACTGTTCACTATTCAGTTTCAAGGAAGTTATTAAAGAAATCACAAACACATCAAAGATGCACTCAAACATTTTTAACCAGCCTTGATTATGGCTACTAAATGCTTCTAGAAGTTTCCTTAACTAAGGCAGATAAGCATTGCAATTAGTGTCTCTCCTTTAGAAGTAAGACTTGAACTACTGAAGAGAACTGTGTTGAAAATTTCTTCCTTTTCTCCATGACAATTTCCCCACCTATGTGGATTAAAATCGGTTTTATCTGGAATAGCTAAAAATACTTTCTTGTGGCTTCCACCTCCTTTGCCAGGATTGATGACAATTTGACTGTTGATGCAGTGTTCCTTTTTCCTTCCAATTAATACCTAACTCCCCTTTCCTTCATTTTCTTAGAAACAAAATTAATACTTAGAGTTTAGGGATGCTGTATTAGATCTTTATTAAAGTATATTTTTATAGAGTTTGCAGTTACTGCAGTATAGTTCCAAATGATGACTATTTTATAAACATTTTACTTGGTCACTTCATGACTTACTTGGAACCGTTGTGTCATACCTTAAATCTCCATCTAGTAACAACTACAAACTTGAGCGTGTGGTCCTTGCCAAGAATCTCTTCATTGCATAATATGTCCAGCTGACAAAACAGAGATGACAGTTAATTCATTGGGACACAGTACATGAAACAACATATTTCAGATACTGCTACAAATGTGTGACAAGATTCTTCTTTGCTGAAAACACTGGAACTGTTCATCTCGCAGTTGCTCTGCAAACAAAAATAGTACCAGGAAAGAAAAAAGAATGCCTTTTCTCAACACAAAGTGATGAACGACCACGTCTGTGCCTACCCAGGAAATACTGTGTGAACTGGACTTAACTGATTCAGCTTCCTGAGCAGTACTAGTGCCCTTCCCTGAAAGCTTTACATGCTTTTAAAAAGGCACAATAAAATGATCAAGGAGATAGAATTCACAAATCTCAAAGATGGGTCTGTTATTTAACATATGATGAAAATTTTTTACTTAACACCAGCCAGGTGGCCTTCTGCTGCAAGGATACATTTTTTTTAAAAACTGTCTGCCACCTCACTCATACACTATATTTATGGGGATTTTTGCAGAAACTCAGTAACTGTTTTCACTTTCCTATCTCAGTATTGAAAAATCTTGATATTAGAAACAGTGAGCATACAAACATAAAAACATGGAACATATGACTACTATCAGATGAACTACAACACCTGAACATGAACGAAACCAGGAAACATAAAAGAAAACAGTATATTCCACCAAGGGTGGCTTATATCAACAACACATTACCAGACAACCCAGAAAGGCCTGAATGTGCATGCAGTCCATTTACATGGCTTGTCTAACTGGCAATAACTCAAACCTGCAATAGTCTATAGCAATCAACCAAGTGCCTACAAGCTTAAATCCTTCTACTATGTACCTGTACAGTGATTACACCACAATTTATGTACTCTTTAAGAACAGAGGGATAGCAAACAAATAAAGAAAGGAATAAACAGTAGTCACAATGTTTGTTCCTTCAGTAAAAGGCAATCAGGTTGTTAAATCACAGACTTCACACGCGCACCCACACACACCTCCACACACACCACACCCAAATATCTATTTTGGAACAGTCATGGTAGCTATGTTGCTGCTGGGCTACAGCCAGGAGTCAGTCACTTCCAGGCCAGCAGAGGACAAGATAGTAGACACGGTTTTGTTTCAGGAAGACTAGCAGAGTTTGGTGACATAATCCAACCATAAAACAGAATGCTGGTTTGAAGCTAGGAAGGAAGGGTGATACAGGTGCAAATTAGCTGTTGAAAAGTTTGAGCAGAAAGGTGTTGACACCTTGGACTGGAAAGCAGATGATTTGATTTAAAAAAAAAGTCTTAACAAAATTCAGTGAATCAGTGCCATAATGTGTGATTGGGAGACGTCAAGCTGAGAGTCAATTAAGAAGTCTAGAGACTGTGACCAAGATCCAGCAAAATGGTAAACAGAGGCTGCATTCATATGCTCACCACTGTCAATTTCAAATCTGAACTAGGAGAAGTGTAAAGTAATGCCTTCCTTTCTGTACCTTTCACCATAAATGCTTCCCATGATTCCCAGTATTCCTTGTAAAGGAAAGGAAAAGTAGATATCTAATAACACTCTGGTCATGGTAGGCAGCAACTTTAGGTTGAGCTTCACTGAGAGCATAGAAAGGACCAAAATATTTCTGGTGCTATTTCTTAAGCTGGGCTTCAGTAGTGTTGAAGCGTCTGTAACTGCCTCTCCCCTACACTGAATGTGAAATCTCTGAAAGGATGGGGGTATAACTTACTACAAGCTGTCAAACAAAGCACCTTGCCAGAGTCCGTATCAACAGATGTGGATGCACATAACTAAGCCTTTTAGCTCAACTATTTATAAATGGACATGAAAAGATGCATTGCAAACTAGGTGGAGAGTTCTGTATAGACTTAAGAAAGGAGAATAAAATGGCTACATAACATGTAATTCAAGAAACAGTGTATCCTTATGTTTTCTGAAAATAAAATCGGGCTAAAAGACTTTGCAAAGGAACAATCCCACACTTTTCATAAGGTTTTTATATCTGCAAAATCATTTTAAAAAAATATTACCTCATTAAAAGAAGAAAGGTTAAGTTTTTTGGCAATGAACTTCTTTAGATGCAAGACTGTTGCCTGTGCTGAGCAACGAATCCATTTTCGTTTCAATCCACGCAATTTGCTGCTATTGCATTCCAAGCAGATGCTTACCTTCAGGAAAAAGCAAACAGTCATGGTTGGCTGGAACAATTTTCTGCAGTCTTCATTATGCATTCCATATGCAGTTTTTATTAATACAACAACATGAAAAAGTATAGTACTAGTATTCCTTAAACTGAAATGCCTGTAGTTCAATCAAAAAAAAATATTTTTCTAACCTCCTGTCAGTTTAGTGATAAGAGTACTGCAACCAAAACGGATCTAGAATAAAAAGTTCAAGAAAGAATTTTTGATGTTGGAACAAGGTTGCTCCAGTTCAAATTCATAGGCTGCCAACAGCTCAAGAGAACCCTATGTCAAAAGCAAGAGTAAGATCAACAGTAAGAATACCATTCCCAATGTTTAATGATTGCTTCTAATATAACTTATTTCTTTTAATACAACTGCTAAATCCAGTTTAAACCAGAATTTTAACACGTTTAAAAAATGTTTAAAAAGAATGGAAACAAATGACATAAATTTTTAAACTTTAAAGATTATCCCCCCCCCAAAAGTCTCTCAATTTCTAAGCTTCAATTTTCACTTCTCTTCTCATCCAGCTATTCACTACTTGACCTAAGGTCTCTGTGATGATTTACTTTATGTGCTAATTGGATCTAGTACTAGGTACAGTCCCTTTGAAAGTTCCCTTACATTATAACTGAAGATTAATCCAAGTTTAATTTACTCTGGGCACACGTAATGGGAAAACATAAAAGGGATGACTTGCTTGTCCCAAAAGGAGCTTCCACTTTCAAACATGCTTTGTGTTTAAAACTTACTGATGAGCTTTACAGCTTTCATACTATTTTTATGGTATAGAAGTTTAAAACAAAATAAATAGTAAGGTAGTAAAAGTGCAAAAGGTTTTATTCAGAATTATTGATACACATTCAGTTCAATGTATCACAATAACACTGGGATACAATCCTTCAGAAAGGAGGCCAAATAACCTGAATTAATTTTAAAAACAAATAAATACTTTGGAAACTTATAAACAAACAGAACTAGCAAATCTTAATGCAAATGTCTTTAACATAATTGTCCATTGATGCCAAAACCCAAAATAAAACTCATGCTTACACAAAAGCACTGGGGAACACTGCCCCTTGTTTGCAGCGAAGGACAGAAAAAGTAGCTTGAAACAGTTATTCTCTGTTAGCTTACCAAAGCACTAAAGATAAAATATAAGATAAAACTATAACATGCCCTATGAGCTCACCTGTTCATCACTTCGGTGGTAGTCATTATCTTCTTCCTGCTTTTCCTCTGAAGTTTCTTTGTTTGCATTTTCATCTGTTTTAGTTTCACCTTAAATAAGAAACCAGACATATGGGATAACACTCAGCAGCAACTTGTGATGCTAATATGATTAGAACAGCACAGTTCAGGACTGCAATATAGAATGAAATCACTTTTGCCAAATTGCGCTTATCTGCTTAGGCAACACTACCTGCCAACAGCCCCACACATCAAAGAGAGAAATACATACAGTGCACAACCTTCAGTTCAACTGCTGGCAGCCTAGACACTATGTAATTTCACAGTCCCCATGTAGGCACTACACTGGAGATTTCCTTTGCTAAGAGTAATATGGTATGACCAGCTAAAAAGAAAGATTCTGTGCACAATTAAGGGACAAAGCAACAATCCTACACTCATTGCATTCTGCAATGTTATAAAAACAACTGTGAGTGTAATAAACCAACTAGACACATACCTCCAATAGGTCTGTCCATCAATTTACTAGCTGTCACCCACCCAAGACAATAAATAAAAGATCATTTACCATTTCGATGGGAATCTAGGTGCTGTTTTGTAGAACATGTCTCCCCTTTGATGTCCCCTGGAACTTCCATGCCCAGTTTGTGATAAAACTCCCTTTGTTTTTTCATTTCCGCTGTTTAAAATTGTAAATATTAATCCCTGTAATAACGTTCTAACGCAATATTTATGAAGTTATTCCAAATCCCTTCTCTCTTAAGTGAAACAGGTTTGCCAACAAGTAGTGGTATTGTCAGTATTTACTATTCTATCTCTGTTCTTGTATTGTCATGTCTCGTCTTATTTTTCAGAGTTAGAATACTACAAAGTCATCTGTGTAGCTACTGTTATAGCATTCATATTAGAATGAGATAGAATTTAAAAATACTACACATTATTTTGAATCCCTCCCATGATATTTCAGTCAAGCCATTGTTTTTGAATTTTTATTAATAGTTCTGGTTTTCAATATGCTAGAAATAATTTTTAAACAATCTATTTAATTTTATTGATGTTTGAACATGTTCTGATTTTGCAGCTTAAATGGATTAAAATACTCTGTTTAAATGAAAGTTGTACCATACATTAAGACAAAAAAATACTGAGTAGTTACTATAAAGTACTTCCGTAGTTGAACAGATCAAGTCTCAAAGAGCATTATGAAAACAAATTGAAAGTTACCTGCTAAGAAAGGACTCACACAGTAGCAGAAATGTCACTGAAACTAAAAGGTGCTCTGCATTACATTCTACCTCTGAGAAATCTACAAAGCTGGCACAACAGGTTTAAGTACTCAGTTTAATAAGAACAAGTAAGAGTTACAGTGTGCCAACATTCAAAAGATGAACTGCTATTCTGCTTCACATAATTCTGCTCCTCAAAGAAACATCTTTCCTCCTCCCACCCCTACCCCCAATTGTTGCTAGTATAGGTATGAAATTAAACTAATTACTAGAAATTACACAAATAAAGGGAAACAGTTTTCCATTGTATTTTTCCTCAGTTCATCCCCCTGGTTTTCATCATCTGAAACTTTTATATTTTTAAGTGTTAAAGAAGTATGTGCAAAATGATCTCTATAGAAGGCCATACCACAACTTACCTTCTTGGAGGCCTGGCACAAGTTTGTAAACAATATCTTGCATTGTTCTGTCATGACTAGCAAGAAAAAAACAAGATCAAAAGTTCAAGTCAACCATCTTTATTCAAAACATTTCTCTTAAGAAAGTTCCAGTACTAAACTGATGTAAAATCCCTAAATTCGCCTAAGAAAAAATTTAAATTCTCAATTGACTATTTATATCACAGAAGAGAGGATAATAACATGAAACAAATTACAAAAAAGTACAGGTTAAGACAGAAACCCAAGTGGAAGTTTGAGGAAGAATAGTCCTGGACTTCTGGCATATGACACTCCATGCAACATCGCCTCCTGCATCAAGGCAACTATGTCACTAGTAATCTCAAAATTCTTTCAAACACTTTGAGGTAAACTCATTTTTATTACAAAAGAATCAAGGATAGTCTGCTTCTTACCCCTACAGACTCATCTCTCACATTCTTATATTACTTAGTTATCTTTACAAGGATTCTCCAAAAATGCAAGAAATAGTTCACAGAAAAAGATCATAATAATAACATTTTACTTTGCTCTGAAAAGCCACCATTTTAACTGTGAGCAACATTATTCTTCAAATGCAGAGATGCCATTACTAGCTTCAGGCTCCTGAATCAGGACAAACTTGAGCAATGTGTGTGTATCAACAGTTTTCTGCAGAATTGAAGAGAAATCAGACTAATTTTCTATAAGCATTGTTTCAGAAGTTATTATAGAACTGAGAAAGACACATTGAAAACCGCCGCAAATGAAAGCAAACTCTTTATTATACAGGCAGGCAAAACACTAATTAATATGCAACAGTGTAAGGAACTGAAGGAGTTAATGCCTCAAACATTAATCAATGGAAAACCTCAAGGACAAGTTATGGCCTTTGTGATTATCCCAAGGAAGTACAGAATGTATCCAAGGTTGCACGGCTCCACTCCACTGTGGCTGCATTGCCAAATTCCTTAGATAAGTCTCAAAGGAGAGAGACATAGACTGAGTAAAACCATATGTTCAGATTAATGGCTACACTTTAATTTACCACTATACCCTTGAAGAAGAGCTAAAAAGATTGATAACAGATAAACAACTGGCACCAGATGGAGCTAATTGCCCAAGAAGCAAGAACTGAGGGAAAAGTAAAGGTGGTAGTGGGAAGCACAACCACCAACTCAACTGGGCAAGGGGGTTGGTGCACGCCCATGCAGAATCCATGCTCTACCCTTCCCTCATCTCTCATAGAAATGAATTCATGGAATACCTGCCTCTCTTTGTCTAGTATGCAAATCAGCTGATAAGATGAACTTAAAAGGTGATATAAAACTTTGCTGGGTGTGCACCCACCACCCAGGATTACTGGACCTGAGACAACACTCAAACCTGGAGTGGTGATCTGGATACTTTGACTCCCTTTCTCTCCTCTCCTTTCTCTTCTTTCTTACAGATTTATCAACAAGAGGCCACGTTGCTTAATATCCTTTTAAAAGTTTAAGTTGTTTCTACAACAAGTAAAACATTTTAACTGGTTGTTTGGTGTCATTTCACCTTAATTTAACCTGAGGGGGTCACAGAATCTTTACAACTCCCTTGCCTACTAGTTGGGGTCATAACAGATTCAAAAAAAAAAAAAAAAAAAAAAAAGTAAAACTCATAGGTTGAGATAAGAATGGTTTCATAACTAAATAAAAGAAAACATAATGATATTAACAATAACAATAAAATATAATAATAACTGTAAGGCAAAGGAATTCTAATAAAAAAAAGAGAAATAAAACCCAAGAAAAGACAGGTGATGCACAATTGCTCAAAACATGCTGACCAACAACTGAGCAGCAATCCAACTCCCAGCCAGCTCTCTCCAGTTTATATACTGAGCATGACATTCTATGGTATGGAATACCACCTGGCCATGCTCCCTCCCAGTTCCTTGTACACCTGCTCACTGGCAGTGCATATGAAACTGAAAAATCCTCGACTTGGGATAAGCGCTACTTAGCAACAAGTAAAATATGGGTGTGTTATCAATGCTGTTCACATACTAAATCCCAAACACTGCACTGTACCAGCTACTAGGAAGAAAACCAACTCTATCCCAGCTGAAACCTGGTCAAAAAGTTACTGCTGTCCAGTAAGATGAAAGGAAAGCACTGAAGGAAAAGAAAGGGAATGTCTTTTCTGAAAACAAAAGAAAAACAAAACAGAACAAAAATACTTAGTGAAAAAAAAAGGAAACCAATGGACAATACCACATTCATGTTAAGTCAGAAAGTGAGAGCACTCTGTGTAGGGATCAAAATAGAATGAAGGACAATATCGTTCCTTTCTAGAGATTAAAGCCATTGGTTGAATATTTTTGCTGCCATATTCTTACTTGTTCCTATGAACTTAACAGACCTTTGAAAGACTAACTGAACAATAAAGCTAACAGTTATTTCTCTCATTACTCTGTCAGACACTGAAAAGCACTGTAAAACTGAGACTAATTATTTTGAGGATTCTGTAAAAGTGTAATTTCTACTAATGTTTTATTTGTGTAGCTTTTAGGACTCAAGCATGCAAGATGAGGAATGACTAAATCCCATTAAAACTCACACAAAAATTAAACCCTGAAGTGCATACTTTTCTTGCTTTCAAGACAGGAAGAAGCTAACAGATGTCAAGGAGTTGCAAATTCATAGCAGTTTGATCCCATATCTCCTCATTCACCTTCAAACTTCCTTTTAAATGTTGCTGGACGAGCAAGTAAGAAAATGTAGGAAAAACTGTTGTATTAAAGAGGCTGAAACAGTCTAGAGTGAAGCTAGTTGCACTTCTGCTTTCATACTTACCCAATATACTGTAACGGGTGACTCTGATGTATAACAATTCTACAGGTCGGACAGGTGTTGTTTTCCTCCAAATATTTCACTAAGCAGCTTCTACAGACTGGTAACAAGGACATTCATAATTAAAAATAAATAAAAGAAGCATAATGAAAAAAGTCACAGAAATGCACCTTACTGAAATTTACACAAAGTTCATTTTTTATGTCATGTAAGCATTATGTCTAATCATGTAGAATGCAGTTTCCAGTATCTTTCATTAATGTTCTTGATAGAGGAAAGTGATGCAATAGAATTAAGGCATCTGTACCTAGACAGAGTCTTCCTAATAAAGCATACAACACACAATTCCACTCTGGAATTTGCTAGAACAGCAGTTTCTAGCAGGTCAACATCATATTGCTTGCACCATTCAGTTTGAACAGATGATATTACAGAAACTGTATGTCATTAAGATACTAAAGCTAGCTGCTTTAACCATGGCCACATATAGAAGTGAAGTGTACACTGGCAATGAACTTAACACAACGGGATTATTCCAAAATCGTATACTTTTAAAAAGAACAGAAAACTTTCAAAAAGTGGATATTCAGGTGCTATTTATATTCTAACTTTCACACAGTACACTACAGCTAATCTTCCACCAACAAAAAGTCACATGTGCACAGACATTCAGTATGTACAAAATGTCTTGGTAGAAGTTGCTAAAGTCGTCATTCGTTATAAAGCTGTATGATTTTAAACTGTTTCCATATGCGTATACACAATCATCTGTATCTCATTCAAAGTAAACTATTTACACTTTCCTCTGCCCTCTTCCAGAAAGAATACTCTATTATTCACTACTACATGATATCCTGACACACTCGAAGTTACAACTCAAAAACACAAAGAAAAAAAAAAAAAAAAGAAAAAAAAAAGTGTGTGTATGAGTGAAATAGCTTTTTCTTAAACAGCAGCACTACATGAAATCTTGATATTAATGCACTCATTCTTATCACAGAGAATGAAAGAATTTCTGTAACTACAGGGCCATCTACCTCTCTGACAAGATTATAGTATAATAAACACCTGTTAATACAAAAAAAATATGGATTAGCAAATGAAGCATAGTAAATTTGCATTCTGTACTGCATTTACTCTATTTGTTGGTAGACATCACACCAAGCCTCGTAGCTTTGCATACTAAGCACAGATCTCACACAGCAGTCTGTTCCAGTGGAACTCCAGTGTAGAGGATCCATTTGCAAAAGTGAAGCCAAACCCCAGTCTTGCTAAGTCAATGAAAGCACAACTTCACAGTGGAAGCAGGAACAGGTATCCTGGGAAGAGTAAAGGGACACTGCTCAGTTGTGTAGGGATGGGGTGAGGAAGGCCAAGGCGTGGCTGGAGCTGAACTTGGCAAAGGGTGCAAAGAATAGTAAGAAGGACTTCTATATCAGCCAGAAAAGGAAGGTCAAAGAAAGCATACTGTCTGATGAACGTGACTGGCAAACTTAAAAATGGATGAGGAGAAGGCTGAGATACTCAACTTTTTTATCTCAATCTTCACTGACAATCTCTCTTCCCATACCTCTCAAAGTGGTTGAACCTCAATGCATGGGTTGGGGGATCAATGACCCCTCCACTGTAAGAGAAAATCAGGTTCATGACCACCTGAGGAACCTGAACTTAATAAGTCTATGGGACCTGACAAGATGCATCCCAGAGTCCTGAGGGAATTAGCTGATGTAATTTCCAAGTCACTCTCCATGATAGTCATGGCAGTAGGGTGAAGTCCCCCATGATGGGAAAAAGGAAAACATTGCACCCATTTTTAAAAAGGGAGGATCCTGGGAACTGACAGGTCAGTAGTCTCACCTGTGTGTCTGGGAAGATAATGGAGTAAAGCCTCCTAGAAGGTATGCCAAGGCACATGGAGGACAGGGAGGTGATTCGAGAAAGCCAGCACGGCTTCACCAAGGCCAATTCTTGCCTGACCAACCTAGTGGCTTTCTACAATGGAGTGACTACATTAGTGTCAAGGGACAAGCTATGGACACCATCTATCTGGACTTCTGTAAGGCCTTTGACATGGACCCCCACACCATCCTTCTGTAAATTGGAGAGATATGGATTTGTTGGATGGACTATTTAGTGGATAAGGAATTGGCTGGATGGTTAGAGCCAAAGAGTAGTGGTCAACAGCTCAAGGTCTGGATGGAGATCAGTGACCACCGTTATCCCTCAGGGGTCAGTATTGGGACCAGTACTGTTTAATATCTTCAGCAATGACACAGACAGTGGGATTGAGTGCACCCTCAGCAAGTTTGCAGATGACACCAAAATGTGTGGTGTGGTTGACACACCTGAGGGACAGGATTCCATTTAGAGGGACCTGGACAGGCTTATTTAATTAAGACCATGTGAACTTCATGAGGTTCAACAAAGCCAAGTGAAAGGTCCTGCACCTAGGTGAGGGGCAACCCCAGTGTCAATAGAGGCTGGGGGGATGAAGGGATTGAGAGCAGCCCTGCAGAGAAGGAGTTAGAGGATAGCGGTGGATGAAAAGCTGGACATGAGTCAGAAACATGGACTTGCAGCCCAGAAAGCCAGCCGTATCCTGGGCTGCATCAAAAGAAGAATGTACAGCAAGCCAAGGGAGGTGATTCTACCCCTCTACTCAACTCTCATGAGACCCCACCTGGAGTAAGCATCCACCTCTGGAGTCCTCAGTACAAGAAAGACATAGACCTGTTAGAGCAGGTCCAGAGCAAGGCCACAAAAATGATTAGAGGTATGGAATACCTATCCTATGAGGAAAGGCTGAGAGTTGGGGTTGCTGAGCCTGGAGAAGAGAAGGCTCTGGGGAGAGCTTATTGTAGTCTTTCAATACTTAAAGGGGGCTTATGAGAAAGATGGGGACAGACCTTTTATTAGGGCCTGTTACAACAGGATATGGAGTAATGGTTTTAAACTAAGAGAGGGTAGATTCAGACTAGATATAAGGAAGACGTTTTTTACAATGAGGATGGTGAAACACTGAAACAGGTTGCCCAGAGAGGTGTAGATGTCCCACCCCTGGAAACTTTCAAGATCAGGTTGGACAGGCCTCTGGACAACCTCATCTAATTGAAGACGTCCCTGTTCACCGCAGGGTGGGGGTTGGACTAGATGACCTAAGATCCCTTTCAACCCAAACCACTCCATGATTCTATGATAGCTTCTAAAACGACATTTTCCAGTATGGACTAGGTATACACTAAGCCTTCCTAAACTGAACTCGTCACAAGTCAGCTTAGGTTCTGGCAGGTTTATTAGTCTAAGCACAACATCCAAATAAATGCAACTAGATAGATTATGGAGGATGATGCAGTCTTCTAGATTGGTTCTTTTTTCACAGGGTGAAGTTGGGATTAATAAGCACTCCTGAAACTGGAAGTCCTAGGAGTATGGGACAGTCAATATGGGAACCATTCTAGGATCTGAAACAATAGTATTACTAGAGTTTTTCCATTACCTGAGATTTCCAAAGTCTCTGATCTCCATTTACCCAGATACTTGGGTACTGATTGTAGGCCTGAACTGAGCTGTACATTTTCTGGTTACTTTTACAATATATTTAAAAACATCAGAAAACTTTCATTAGAAAAAGAACAGGCAAGGTTAATCCTCACATTTTTTTAAAAAACAGTTTCATTCCTCTTGACTTTTCTCATTTCTATATCTAGTTGAAGAAATACAGTTTGTCTTTCATTGTCCTCATGAGCACACAAAACAGTATCTTTCATAACATACAAGGCTTTCCCTTTCATAACACAAGGACAGCTTTCACACATGAGCACTAATGAAACTCAAATTACAAATGTAAAGGTTTAACAAGACCTGCATATATCTGCTAACCTAGAATTCTAATCAAGAAACACATGTAAACCTGAAAAGACTTAACATTGAGTTACAACTAACAGAGTTTTTATCTTACAGGTCTGCCTATCACCAAGAAACTAAAGATACAGCAGAGAAACAAGGGAGCAAAAATGCTTGTTCTTCCCTGAATTCTGTTTTACAAAAGAAGTTGGCCTTGTCTCCCTCCAAGGGACTGGCCCTAGTCCTCCAAATGACTCTCAAAGTACTCAAGAACTACATTTACTGCTGAAGTGAAGAGTCTCTGAATGTCTGAAGGACAAAAAATTAGAGAAAAATGGAAAAGAAAATTGTACAGTACTAACTAGAAACAGAGAAAATTTCAAGGTAGTATAATTCAGCAGAGAATTCACGCTACTTTCAGGATAGATTTTGCAAGGATGCTTTTCCAGGGACATATATCACTAGCATTAACATACACAATACAAACAATGCTAACATGTATAAAGCTTTTTAAAAAAGGCAAGGCCGTGTGACCCTTCTCACAAAACTGTAATTCTATGGGACACACATTGAAGTAGTATTCTGAAAATATAAACAGCCAAAATAAGAGAAGGACAAGTCATAAAGAGAGAAAAAGAATATTAAAAAAAAAAAAACAAAAAACAAAAAAAACCAGACACTAGTAAGGAGCATTCCCTGGCTTCTGAAGCAAGCACTGTAGTACTATGGATTAATGTCCGTAAGCAAATATAAGAAAAGGTATAGATGATGTCAGTGAGGGGGTTTTGTGGGTTTGGTTGGGTTTCTTTTTAAAGAACTATGCAAAATGACCCTCTAGCTCTATGTCAGACATGTGAACTTGTTATAATACTAGTTTTGTATGTAATACTGTTAATAGCTGCAGTAAAGTATTTGAGGCAAAACTAAGTAGAAGTCTAGCTTAAGTATCCACCTTTCTCCAACTGGAGTCCCTTCCATGATGGAGCAGCTCAGAAAGGGCTGCAGCCTGTTGGGAGGAACTCATGTCGGAGAAAGTTTGTGAGGCACTGTCTCCTGTGAGAGGGGGACCACAATGGAACAGGGGGAACTCGTTCCAGAAGCTCCCCCCACCAAAGATTGAAGAAGCAGCAGCACTGACTGCACCCCCCATTCCCTGCCCCTGTGCTGCTGGGGGCAGGAGGTAGAGATACTGGGAGCAGAGCTGAGCCCAGGAAGAAGGGAGGGGTGGGGGGAAGGTGTTTTCAAGATGTGGCAATGCTTCTCACTGTCCTACTATGTTAAGTGTTGTTGTTAGTATCTGTAATAAATATATGTTCTTTTTCACCTTCTAACGAACCTGACTTTTGACCAAGACCATAATGGGTTATCTGCCCCTCCCGGTCCTATCTTGAATCTCAAGTCTGTCTTATTTTTCCCTTCTCATCACTGGAAGAGAAGGAGTGTATGATCAGCCGCATGGTGCTCAGTTGCCCTCTGAGCTCAAACCGTGGCAGATCTCTATACTCCAAAAACAACACTATGAAAATTAAGATGTGAAAGAGATGCAGAAGAGACATGAGAATAATCAAACTGACATAGGAAGCATGGCAAGAACATCACACTAATTAAAGCTGATGAACAGAACTTCTAAGTGAAATACAATGAAAAGGGTAATCTCTGACAAATCATGAGCATTTTATTTCCCCTCTGTAAGATATTTTATGTGACGAATAAATCCGCTGAGACTTTCAGTTTGTGGACACGAAGCCACTGCCACCAAATAATTCCCTTTCAACAAAGTTTATGACTATAAGTCATTAAGCTATTCAAACAACATATTAGCTTTATCAGAATAAAATACTGTTACAGAAGGATTTTAAAACTTGGGATCTTTGAAGTTGCATTGAAAATACTATTTAATAGACTAATACAGGTGCTTATCTCTGAACAGACAGAACTGCACAAATGGAAGCTCCTGGGTGACAGACACATTGGTAAATTTCAGGGATTCTGAAGACACATCTAGAAAAAGTACTTCTAGTAAAACCCTGTAATGTAGGGTGTAAAGACACTGATGTGGCTGCTACAGGGAATATTCAACATCACTACAGCAGGACGGCAAGGTTAATTCCTCAGCTGATACCAACTATGGCAAAGGAAACTGAGGATCAGAACAGATTCAAGACAGAGAATAGTTTTGGAATTACCACTTTGGACTATAAGGGTGCTTCTGCTCAAAAGGAATCTTTATGGATCTTTAGTTAGACCTGTGCTAATATGCAAGGTATCCATGACAGTGCTGGAAACCCTAGCACTCCTATATCCTACAGTGTCAACAACAAAGATGCCAGGATGGACTTACACCTTCAGTTTTCTTAAAGCCTAAGCCTTTTCAAGGGCTTGCTCCACCGAAGTGAAACTAGAAATTCACAACTAACATAACAACAAATCTTGTCACAATGTTTTTGAACAAAAGCTTATTTCTAGTGTATGATATAATATATTTATTCTTTATCAAGAAACTACGTCTGCTTTCTTCAGAGGAACAGGAGAACAAGAGATATTTGGTAGGCTCCAGGTGGAGAACATATGCTGTGTCAGCTGTCACAGAAGAGAAATAGGCATTCCACATTCCTTCAGTAAGAAGTTAGACTGCATTACTGCATTAACTGCATACATTACCACTAATTGTATATGGCTTCTAGTTTGTGCAGTACAACTTTAATGTTCTCTTCAATTGCTCTATTAAAAAAGCAAATAAATCTCTTAAAAAAAGCAGTGTCTAGTAAAGCACACATTATGTTGGCTGAGGCACAATGGATTTTTTAATTTCAACTAAAAAACATTAAAACGTATTTAAAAAAAAAAACACACAAAATGAAACAAACAAAACCAAACCAAATTTATTTAACTTAATTATACTTCTACTTACAAGTATGTAAGCATTCTGTTACAGTAGTAGCATCAATCAGGTATCCATTGCACAGACGACAGGTTATATGGGCATTAATATCCCAAAGCTTAATCTTTCTCGTTAGCATCTTTGGTGTCTGCAGAAAAGACATATCATAAAATAACACAGCTGTAGTGATCAGGTAAAAGTCATTTGGGAACAAATGATTAACTAGAATTAACCCTGAAGGTATGTTTATACAGCTTTAGGCTCTCATATACTGTGTATGTGCATGTAATAGCACTAACTTTTAAAGGACCTCACGGAAGTGAAACAATGTAAAACCCACACTATTTTGCAAGTCAAAATTTCAGTAGCATAGAAAACAGTCTTTCTAGCATGCTATTAAGAAGTTCCTTTACTAACCTGAGGACTTGGATTTAAGGTGAGCCCCTACTATTCTAGTGATCTAAGTCACCACATTCAGTCCAGTAATAGGGAAAAAATCACAAAAATTTGGAGAGAGAAAATCCTCAAATCAATTTGAGAATCAAAAGCATTTTGGTAATTGAAAGGTCAAAATAACTAGGCCTAATTTGGCATCATAGGTTTAACCACACTTTTAAGTGTTTGCCTTGTGCCAGTATGGTTAAAGCATAATATTGCAGCTGTGTCTCAACAACAGCTGAAAAGTGTACCTTCTGAAATCTGGTTTTATTTAAACTCAAGTTAATTAAAGAACATATTGCAAACTAGTCTCACTGACAAGAGATACACTTTGTTGCACTATGAAATTTGAGCTAGAAATATTTTCTCTCTTCAGAGCAAAGGATGGCATAACCACCATTAAAAAGAAGAAAAAGCAGAAATTAAAAATCAAAGATCTCACTTAACCTTTTTTTGCAGCAGCCCCAAATGATTTTAGAGGAAACACCACACAAAGCCCGTGTCTTAACAAAAAAACTGTAACCTTTTAACTATATTTTATTTTTCACAGTATATTGAAAAGAAAATTGTACTGTTGCCATAAGTTGACAGCATTCAAGTTAATTAATAGAGCAAGCTAAACATGCTTACAACTTATTAATACATTTGGTTGCTACAGTGCAGAAGTCACTGAACTACACTGTTTTCCATTACAGTGACTTTACTGTACCTGCCTCACAAATGCTAGTTTTCATCTAGCATAGTACAGAATACATTTCAGAATTTGAATTGTGACACGTGTTACCCAAATTTCACATAGAAATATTGTAACAAGGTTGTCTGATTTTTAATGTAATTTGTAATATTATTTTTCTATGTGTAATTAAGTGATACTAAGCAAAAAGAACTATCAAAAGGCAAACTTTCACACTAATCTCAACTATACCAGCACTGAAAAAGTACTTTATATTCCATTATAATCTATGGAAGTGCACACGCAACAGCCACAAGTTGAAATCTGCAGTATCCTATACAAAAATGTCTAGGAAGACTTCCAGCTCTCATGGCTGAGAAGTAAATGACACAAAAATCAAACTTAATTAATGGTGTTTGAGATTTCTTGATTAAGCTAGTGACTAGCCATGACAGAAGAATGAAAGCACAACTGGCTTTGCAGTATACAAGATAGGTCAGAATCTACACTAGGAAACTGAATTACTTTTCTAAATTGTATTTTATAGATTTATTTCTAATCAACTGAAAACTAGTCACCTATCAAACACTTGGAAGTTAGTGCTCAAGGCCTCCAGTTAAAGAAGCTACTGCATGAAGTAACTATGGCAAAAGAGAAGAGCTATTCAACATCCCTCTTTAAGAAAAGAGTTCAGGAAATGGCTTAAAACCATCAGTTAAATAGAAAGTCAGGACACTGGAAAACATAATTCATTCAAGGCAAATGAGAAATTAAGATACAAAGATACTTTAGAAAGTCAGTATCAATACAATTCTAGTTACTTGCCTAGGCAGAAATTCAGGAAAATGTGTTCAGGATCACCACTGACTGAATACAAGCACTAATAAGGCAGAAAAGCCAAATGTATTAGAGTGAAAACTAAAGCAAAAAATTTTTTTTTTTCTAGAAAAAGCATGACAATTTTTCTCCACTATGTACACAGTGGAAACAAGCACTGCCACTCAAAAAAAAAAAAACCTGCAACAAACAAAAAACAGTTCAGATGGGATATAACATTACGAGAACAATGAATGAACCATACAGTGAAGAAGGCAGAAATACTACAAAATGTCAATAAAGTCCATTGTGTCAGAAAAAGAGGATAGCAAAGATAATACACACTTCACTGACTGAATGGGAAACAAAATCATTGTTTTTGGCAATGCAAAAAAACATCTTCTAGAACATCCAGGGCAATCCTGCCAAATCAATCTTATGAAAAATTCATACATCTGTGCTGGGTTTGTGTGGCAGGGGTTTTTGGTAGTGGGGGAGAGGGCTATAGCAGTGGCTCCCTGTGAGAAGCTTCTCAAAAGGTCCCCAGGCTCCAAGTTGGACCCATCTCTGGCCAGGGCCAAGCCAATTAGCGACAGTGGCTGCACCTCTGCAATAATGTTATTTAAGAAGGGGAACCTGGGCGGGGTGGGGGGGTTTGGGACTTGCAAGGAGGACGAATGCCCAGGACAGTGGAAGGAAAGAAGCAAGCAGGGGGAGGTGTGCTGGAACAGAGACTCCCCTCTGCATCCTGCAGTGAGACAGCAGGGCTGCCCACTCCGCTACTCATGGAGGTCCCCAGTGGAGCAGAGGCCAACCTGAAGCCTATAGAGGAGCCCACACTGGAGCAGGCATCTGCACTTAGTGGAAGCTGGGACTCTGAGGAATGAAGGCGGCCCTGCTTCTATAGTTCAATGCTGGGAGGACTGCAAGACACAGGGGTGACCCATGGCAGAGCAGCATGGGAATAGCTCACACATGGTAAGGACTCACACCAAAGAAAGTTCATGAAGGACTGTCTCCTGTGAGAAGGGAGCCATGTGAAGCAGGGGAAGAATGCAGGGAGTGCTCCCTGCCTCCTTGAGAAGTAAGGAGTGGTCAACTGACCGTAGCACCATTCCCTGCCCCTGCACTGCTGGTGGAGGTGGGGGGGAGGGAGGAGGTAGAGAGATCCGGAACAAAACTGAGCCTGTGGAAGAAGAGAGGGGTTGGGGGAGGTGTTTTTAAGATATGGTAATGCTTCTTCACTGTCCCACTCTGTCTGTTAAGTGCTGTTGCTAGTTTTTGAATTGAAATTATGTTCTTCTTCTTCCCCTAACAAGTCTGTCTTTTGCCCTTAACTGTAATGGATGAGTCAACCCTCCCTATCCTCATCTCAATACTGAAACCTATTACTTTATTTTCTCCTTCCCATTCCTGAGGGGGAAGGGGGGAATGAAAAGCATCTTGATGATCAGTTGCCCTCTGGGCTCAAACCATGACAATATATTTAAAGAATGACACAAAAACCCTCTCATTAAACGTTCACAGAACAGAAACCGGGAACTATTGGAAGAAGCAGCAGAATGGGAACAGGTTTTTCCGGGCATCAGACACCTCATTTTCAAAACAAGACAAAACGTACAGTAGGAGATTTCTCCAGAAGGCCTGGCCCATACTGCTATCTTGCAACTGCTAGAACAAGATAATGATCTCTTCTCTGCATATGCAGAGGCCCAGACAACGTAGCTTCAACAGAACTTCAATCTCCAATAAGCAACGCAAGTTTTAAGGTCTGTAAGCAAGTTGTCAGCGTCAGAGTCCACTTTAGCCTGCATCTTGTGCAACTGAGACCTGTGTCCTCTAGTCTCAGGAGGAAGAAGAAAATTTGAATGCCTCTCATTTTTCAAAACAGTTAACCTGTAACAATAGGAGGCTTTATTAAAAATAAAATAAATAAAAAATATAAATTTCAAAAAGGCCAGACCAGTTCATATCTATTTAGGAAGGAATGGAGGAGCTAACAACAAAATGGCATATTACCAAGATGTCAGTTCAGTTAGACAACATATTTAAAGACTCAGACTTAGTAGACAACTTGAATTACTTCCCAGATGGAAAGAGAAAAAATAAAATAGCAAAACTATAGAAGAAATAGAACTAACGTTACAGCCTAATATAAGAAATTAAATTAATTAATAACAGCAACAAATTAAAAACATAAAGTAATTCCACATTCATCACCTATCTGTTCTGTACCACTTCAGATGAAAGTAAATAACATAATTGCAAATTTCAGCACCGACTACTTTTTTATCATTATTAATGTATTTGAAAAGGATACACAGTCATACTACAAAATATGAAGCTAACCTATCATTCACAGTGTATAGGAAGAAACTCTGCATGTGGGATAATGGCTAACACAGGATGCCTTCCACATTCCTATCTGGAATATGCTAACAAATATCACCTAGAAGGGGTACTAGTATATTTGAACCACACATCCTCTCTTGAGAAGGAGTCCCAACATTCCCATGTTCCTACAGCCTACTGCCAAACAAAAGTTACAAGTCACTTTCATCATGTAAGACAGCCAAGTTCTTATCACTCCACCAAAAAAAAACAGACCAAATATACTATACACTGAAGTACAGTGCTGTAGGAGGAAAAGTGTGGCTTAGATCTGAGAAGTAAACAGAAGGAACAAGAAATTTCCAAGACATTAATGATGACAAGAGTATCATAAATAAATCCCCAAGGTCTATTTCTATGTCATCTTAACTCCATCTTAATTATTATAAAGATTACCCACTATTTCAACACTGAGTACAGTAATGATTTAAAAATTTATTTATTAAAATTTTAAGTTTTTATATCACTCTAATCCACTTGCAAATTTAAGTTGAAATATTTGAGTTCACCAACCAAGCAACTGAAAACATAGTTAATTTTTTTTAACTGCTGGGCTCCCATGAAAGCAAGATTGCATCTAACCTGAAAAAAATCTCAGTATCCTTCAGAAGTCTCAGCATCTGTTTTTATGATTTAGGTAGCACTCTCAACGAGCTACTTTTACCATATTAACATGTAGTAACATAAAGAAAGGAGAAAAAACATGTTTACCAGATACTGGATTTCTCTCAAAAAATTCTGAATGAAGTGACACCCTTCTGCTCAGACTACTGACAATTTTTGCACGTACAATTAATCCATGTTCATAATCTCATACAAACTGGATCTAAACAGCAAGACCACACAGTGTCCAAAACAGGAAGTTTGACTAAAAATCATCAAGATTAGCCAGCTTGCTTTAACCAATCTATTTTTCTATTTTCTAGGCAAATATCTTCCCTTTAATACCTTCCCTTTGAAAAAGAGAAGATTTTTCCAAATCTGAACTCCAGGTGGTAACTTACAAAAACATCATTTTCCCATCTCTCAAACAGTGATATGTTGGAAAGAAAGCTAAAATTGAATTCAGAAACTTCCAAAACAAGTAATCTAACGTTAAAAAGAAAAACAACAGATGTGAAAAACCATCTCTGAATACACATTCCCAAGCAAGCTGTCATGGGCTTGAGTGGTGGGGTTTTTTGGTAGCAGGGGAAGGGGGCTATAAGGGTGGCCCCCTGTAAGAAGCTTCTCAAAGCTCCCCCAGCTCCAAGTCAGATCCACCCCTGCACCAAAACTGAGCCAATCAGCTGCACCTCTGCGATAACGTATTTAAGAAGGCACATGGTGATGAGCAGTGGGACTTGTGAGGAGGAGTTGCGGCAGCTGCGTGAACACCAAGGTCAGTGGAGGAACAGAGGAAGAAAGGAGGGGGGAGGTGTGCCGGAGCAGAGACCCCCCTGTATCCTCTGGTGAGACAGCAGGGTGGATACCCCGTGCCATCCATGAAGATCTATGGTGGAGCAGACGTTGATTTATGGCATGTGTTCCATTTCGCATGGCTGATCAAGGTGCTGTGCCTGAAGAAGGCTCGAGTCTTGTGGGAAAAGGTAGCCCCACTGTTGTAGTTCAGCGCTGGGAGGATTGCAGCATGCCGGGGTGTCCCACACTGGAGCAGCTCAGGAAGGGCTGCAGCCCATGGGAGGGACTCCAGTTGGAGAAAGTTGGTGCCCCACGCTCGAACAGTGTAAGGAAATGCTGCAACCAATGGGAGGGACTCATGTTGGAGAAAGTTTGTGGAGGACTGTCTCCTGTGAGAGGGGAATCATGGTGGAGCAGGGGGAAGAAGTTCCAGAAGCTGTCCCCCTTCCCTCCCCCCACTCCCCCCCCCAAGATGGAATAAGTGGCAGCACTGACTGCACCCCCCATTCCCTGACCCTGTGCCACTGCAAGGAGGAGGTAGAGATATCGGGAGCAGAGCTGAGCCCAGGAAGAAGGGAGGGGTGGGGTGTAGGTGTTTTCAAGATGTGGCAATGCTTCTCACTGTCCTGTTCTGTTAAGTGTTGTTAGTATGTCATAAATCTCTGTTCTTTTTTTTGTTCCCCTAACAAGTCTGCCTTTTGCTCGTGTCCATAATGGGTGATCTGCCCCTCCCAGTCCTATCTTGAATCCCAAGCCTGGCTCATTTGTCCCTTCTCATTTCCGGAACAGAACGGGGAGTGAGTGGCTGCGTGATGTATGGCTGCCAACCAAGGTCAAACCACAACACAAGCTTACAGTTTAAGAGCATGGAAACATTCAGACAGCTGGATAAAGCACTGAGCAACCTTGTCTGACCTCATAGCTTACTGTGCTTTGAGCAGCTGCATTACAAGATCACGTGATATCTTTTCCAACCTGAATTATTCTACAATCCTAAGAGTTTACTACACTATTACACTACCTTCCCCAAGCCATGTGATAGGCAAGCTGAATTTCTTACTGTTTTGACTGCTCTCAAACTGCTTATTGAGTATTTTAAGCAACTGTTATCCAGTCATAATCACATAGACGTCAACTCAATGAAATCACCATGAGCTCAACATCTAAACTTGATTACTTTAAAAAGAAAATGGCATAATCATGTTAAGGTTAAAGTCACACACACCAGCTCGAAGTAATATTAGGAGGGGACAATAAGTTTAATGTTCCAAAACACCATCCAGGCATAAAAAAAAAAAAAAAAAAAAAAAAAAATAAAAAATTAAATTTAAAAAAAGCAAACCAAAACAAAAACGTATCCGCAAATTAACACTTCTTTGTAACAGTGACTATATAAACTCACTAGACTGTGCAGGAGTTAGTATGAAAACCAAAGTTCTACAATAAACTGAGACTATTTGTATTTGCCTTATTTGTAATGTAACCAGTCACCACGTAGAAGATGCATGCCCAAGACCTTCTGAATCTTTCACAGAACTGCAGTCAAGTTCAGAAGCTGAAGTCTCAAAGAAAGTTATCATTCTGTATAAAAGCAAGCAATCTCAAAGGACAGAGCAGAATCTAAACATTTACAATGTCATTTTCTGAACCTAATAGCCCCTTTTTCACAGTTGAACACTGCAAACCTTAGGTTCCCATAAAATCTCTATGGCAGTTAGCATACATCAGAAATATACCTTAATTTAGTTTTTAGAAAGCCAAAGCCAAGCAAGGCAACTACTGTGGGACACAGTGGTTCATTAGTTTTTCTACACTGAGTTACCGGATTAAATAGCAACCTACTACAGCAAGCAAGATCAAATAAACTGTAAGAATTGTAGACTCTCAATCCACTGATTGAACAGTGACATTTGATAAAAAATTCAAGTTTCTCACACTTTACCTAACCAACAAGTGAACACTAGAGCCAAAGCACAATTCTCCCTCAAAGCCATGCTTCTGAAATAGGAAGAAGTGACTCTAACTCCTCAGATCTATCACAAAACACTTCTCAACTATGTATGCTTCTATTGTTAAAAAAAAACAAAACAAAAAAAAAAAAAAAAAAAACAAAAACAAAAACACAACAGAACACGCCAACCTGAGCCTCATCTGATTTTACAGGAAATGTAAAATATAAAAAAAGTGACCCCTCAAAATGTAACATAGATTTACTGGATATTATTGAATAATGTAGATTGGAAATAATCTCCAAACTATTCTCAACCAACCTTACACCCAAAGTAGGCCCACTTAAATTGAGTTGCTGTGCACCTATTCCTGCTACATTCAGAAAAGCTTAAAGAATGGAGAATCCACAGCCTCTCTAGGCAATCTGTTCCACGGTCTGACAACCCTCACTGGCAAAAAAGTGCTCACATTGCCTCGTAGGAATGTCCCGTGTTGCAACATGTGTGCAATGACTCTCATCCTATGAGTGTGCCCCTCCAAGAACACTGCAGCACCATCTTCTTTATTTCTGTCCACAGGAGTGTTGAAAATAGCAATATCTTCCCTTACTCTTAGCATCATTTTCTTTACGGTCTTTGTAAACACAGCATAAAAAACAGCAACACCAGAATCCCCGTCAATAACTGGAAAGCCATGTTTAACCCAAGTTGTTAGAATTTCACAGTGGGAATTATTTTTTAATCAGAACAAACAAATTGGCACTTTACTGATTTAGAGAAATGGAAAACCTAAAGTTTCAGGGATCTGAATCAAGCCTAAAAAGGAATTAAGAGGTTCTGTTTAAAAAAACAATTAAAACAATGAGAGCCCTGAGAACACTGAGTTAGACCAATGTTTCTCTTAGAAAGACAAACAAAATCGACTTTCCTAAAATCTGCCACTTATGAATCCTGAAAAGGATGGGAGACATAACAGAAGAGCTATTCAATTCAATTTAGAAGAGACCGTTTTCCTAACAGCTGTAAAGCAATTAATTATTCAGAAACAACATACCAACAGTGGAGAGAGAAGAGACTGTCTCCTTAAGTGCTGGAACATGAAACCCCAAACACACACACACACACACACACAAAATGTTCCAAACATCCAGCTAATATGCAAAAATGGTCACTTGCAAAGACATTAGTATTTCTTCATCTTGGTTCCAACTGACATTGTTTTACACCACACTGATGGCATAATGTCAGCCTCTCACTGTCTGGTAAGTCTTACATCACACCAGGAGGAAGTGAGTGAAGGCAATTACATAGGCAACTGGACTATATTCCCAAATAAAAACCAAGCAAACAAACAAAACCCCACACACAGTCAGGAGATGTTGGCAGGGGAATATGCACATGTCAGATAGTCCTCTGCTTTTGTTCATGTTATGCTTCATCCACTAAAGCAGTGTTCTATTAAGATGATCAAGCAAAAAAGTAGGTATTATAGATATCTCAACTAAAACTGGGTCACCAATAAAACAAGCCTGAATGTCTCTGTGCAAGCTTTCACCTTTCAGAAAGACTTCAGTACTGAAAACTATTATTCATGCAAGTTTACAGAGACGGCCAGCAGATGGACTCCTTAAAAGTATTGATTTATAACTTATACATCCACTAGTCAGGACTATTTTGGCCTACATGAGGCATACCTCTTAAAACAGCATTCCTTTTCAGAGTCTGCCATCCAGAGACCTGAAAAGACAGAAAAATAGTCTGAAAATTAACATCCAACATTCCTCAAAACCCAGCTGCCACAAAGAAATACTTAGCTCACTAAGTTCACCTAAAACTATCAAAGGATCTATATGATTTTAAGGTAACAGCAGGGCAGGTGCACTTCTGAGTAAGAAAAAGAACAGCGGGAAAGACTGTCAGAATTAGATCTTCGGGGGGGGAGAGAATGTAAAACAGTCCTATGAAAGGACACACACAGACAATGAAAATTACTCAAAAATCCAAGTAGTCCTGTCATCATGTGATGGCAAAATGAAAATAAGTTAATTGTCTTCATAAATGACAGGGAAAATGACCGAATAAATAAGCAGAAACCTTGAACCGCAACCTATGGACTAACTACTGATCAGTCTGTAAAAGATTTTGGATTGCAGATCCGTGGTCAGCTGAATATTATTCTGTTTTCAAGTTATATTTGTAAGTAATCTGCTCTTTGTATCTTAGGTTTCAAAAAATACTTTCATTCAAATAAATAATTCATATTTGTAGAATCTCTATATATTTTTCCAAAATAAAACTGTATTTAAAAAAAAAAAAAGACCTCTGCATCACCTTTAGCCAGAGGATAATCTCTCACAAACAGGTTGACAGAAGGCAATTTTTCTTATTAAGCTGATTCACACAGGAAATACTCAGATGTTACAGAGAGTAAAAAGTCCTACTACTTCCACCTTCCTGTTCTGAAAAATCAAAGGCATAGCCTGTAGTTACTGATTTTACTGTTCTGTTGCTAAGGGAATTATAAGGACAATAATACAACAAGATATTAATGATAGCACTAGGTGAGAACAGTTCAGCACAATGCAAATAAAAATCTCTTAGCAATTCCACTGTGAACTCCTCTGCATTTGGAAAAAAAACAAAACAAAACAAAAGAAACAAACAAACAAAAAAACAAAAAACAAACAAACAAAAAAAAACAAACAAAAAAAAAAACCCAAAAAACTATTAACTGAAAGCAATTCAGAGAAGTACAAGATGCTCTTTTGTTGGAATCCACAAAAAAAGTCCTCATGGAGGCCCTCATATGGACAGAAGAAACTACAGAAGGCATTTCTCACAAAAAAAGATCTATTTCAGCGGCTTATCACCACTCCAAGAGCACATCACAACATTAACTTCTGAATAACAGCCTTTCAAAAGGAATTGTCACACATCTTCCCTCACTGCTATTGGAAGCGGACAAGGTAACACTTTTGTTCAGCTAGAAGAAGAAAGCGGCACTCAACATGGAAGGAAAAAGCCAACAACTATATCAGTCCTAAATCACCATCACATTCTTTATGTTCTACCTGGATGGTTGTTGGAGACCAGGCAAGTGGCTTGGTCTACTGATTCTGCACACTAAGAAGTCAGAAGCGAGTACTAATATTCCAAAATGGATTTTTCTTTAAAAGACTGTTCAACTGTTATGATTGCTCTTCATAACCTGGCAGATTATCAAACTGTAATTCTCATTTGTACCACCTAGCTTTGTAAAGTGAAACAGTAAATTACTCATACCAGGTACAAATCCAGAACTGTAGTGAATGCATGTAAAGATTTACAAACCATTACAACCCTGCTGTATTTCAAAAGGATAAGCACACATGTTTTTCTTTTGCTGAAATAAAGTGTAATAATGTTACTTCATTGAAAAACAGGAGTATAGTGCTCACTGTGGAAGGACCCTGAGCAAAAAACTATGTGGCAGATGCTAGTAATTTTGCTGAATAATTACTGGAAGCTACTAAGGTCATACAGCACTGAAAACTGAATGACAACAGTAATAGAAGCAGTAGGTATGCCTCAGTTCACGAGGACAGTGACATTAAAGTCACAGCTTTAAGAATAAAACATTACAACAGTGGAACTTTGTTCAAACCCAAAACTTAATGTGAGAAAGAAAATTTTCAAACCTGATGTTTATGATGGTCTGGCTTATGCCAGGCATAAGCCTCACACACTTGTTAGTAGCTGCACGCAGATGAAACCAAGACAAACCTAGGTCTACAACAAGCTGATTTAAACTATAGAAAAAAAGGCAGTCCTTGCTATGGCAACCAGTTTAATTATTCTCAAAGACATACTATAAATATTGATAAATTAACTATTTAAATATTAATTTAAATAGTAATATTAAATTCCTAAAGATTATTAAATATTTTCAACTTTAACATCTGCTTCCATCTAATAACAATCTACATTAGCTGCACAGGCCTGCAAACACCTTATTCCATCGAGATAGGATCCAAAAAAGGCTCCTGACATTCTGAACATAACCATGTAACTAGAGAACTAATGCCTGGTTAAAAGGGAAGTCTAATTCACACTTTCAGCACATTTCAACTGAAGGCAGTGTTGCACGGTCATCAGGTCAGATTATGAAGACATACAAGCACAGAATCTGTGCCTCTTCAACTAGCTGGATTAAAACATAAAAATAGCCTGGTGTAATCAACTGCAATAGAAAGATGTATGTTGTTAATGGCTGAACTGACAGACCTCTGTTCCATAACTAATTTATTTAGCAGTAACTTATTAAAATAATACTGACTTGCAACAGATCAAAATAATTAGGTCTAAGTGAAATTAATTAAAAATGCCACCAGCTTAATACTAAGTACCTTGCACTTCTGCAAATCTTTCCATCAAAGAACAACATAGTTATGAGTCAGAAATTTATTTCAAGAGAACAGAGAAGTCATAGTCCTACTTTCACTGCTAACAAGGTCAATACAGCCTATACAGTACTTTAGAGAATCATGAGGATACTACTTCTGGTAAACAACTTAAGATGTAGGAGAGATGGAAGGATAAAGAAAACAATAACTGTAGTTGCTGTGGGTTCAGATATTAAAGTTGTTTATTTCAACTGTTGTCAGTTTTATGTTGCTGAATTTTTACTTTCGAATTTAATGTGTCGGCCATTTAAAAAAAGAGAACAGTAACTTCAAACATACTATCAGTGAGAAGGTTGTGCTGGGTTTAGCAAAATGCAATAACAGAAGAAAACTACCAAATTGAATTTAAAGTATTACAAGCTTCAAAAAATTCTTCATGTTGTATTTGTAAAGCACTTTAATAAGAGAAACTGCTAGAAACAAAAACCTTTTTGTTGAGCAGAGATAAGCTAAAGATTTAAATTTGCTTTAGCAAGCCAATTTATGATTAACAGCCCACATGCAGCCTTTTATGACTTACTTCAACCACATAATTATATGTTAAGGCAGCAAATGTATCCGTGTCCACTTTTTAGTATCATGCCAGCAATTTCTCATCTCAGTAGAACGTCTCACAAATTGTCTTCCCCCATTTCTGGGAAGTTATTAACACCACCAGATGGCACCAGTGGCTTAACTTCAATACAGCAGGTATACATCTTAGTAACACAGAAAAAGAAGGACACACCCCACCCCATAAACAGAAAAGGAAAATAAAAACCTTTACACATTTGTTGTCTCTGTCTTCTTAAAACAAAGATCTACTAAGCACAAACACAGCATGCAGTTAATGTGAATCGGTACATAGTATTTTGACGTTCTTGTGAAACCAGAACTACCCCCACAATACAGAGACTACTATGCTTCCTGATGCATTTGTTCAGGCAGTTTTGATGTTAAGTTTATCTTCTGTTGAGTGGAATACTGCTTTTCAGTTCTGTGCCTATTTCATGGGTGTGCTCAACAATCTGCAGAGATCACATCACATACACACTCACTGACAGGTCAGGTTTCTCCAGTTCCAGTGGAAACTAAGGTATTAATTTTTCATCATCTCAGAGAAAATAGAGGAGGCCGGCAAGAATATTATACTTTTTTTTTTTTCCCACTTTTTTTGAGTATTTGCCTCACTGTTGCATGGCTAAAACACTACTAAAAACTGATATAAAAACTGATATACAATTGGTCCCAAAGAAAGATTTAAAATCATCTCATATTACTTATAGGAATGAGTGCCATACTCTATTACAATACTCTTGCAAGGAAAACTATTTGCTTTCCAGCCTACTTAGAGTATCTGTTCTTTTCCTCTGAAAAAATTCAACAGTAATGATTGATTTCTCCACTGGTAAGCACTCTGGAGGTGAAAGGCAGAGCACCAAAGGAGACTTAAGGGAAAATCAGGCTGCACCTGGCAGCCTGAGATGATCCTGCAGCAGCTCCAAGCCACCAGATACAACAGGTTGAGAGGCTGAGCACATATTCCCAGTAGGCGCACACACACACACACAGAGCACACATCTACAACACATATACACCATAGCCAGTGACAACAGATCAACCAAGAGAGGCACACACAACATGCATATGAACACAAAAAGCACCAGCAGCCTAACCCTGTTTCCCACTCTGGCTGAGTAGAATGGAGGTCCACTAGTGAGAATATATACACATATGTACAAGGTGGATCTCCCCAAGCAGCTGGAGTCAGAGCTCAAGTCTGCCCAGTAGCTGTCCGCTGGATCCCAGTCTCCACAGTTGCTGTCACCTGAACATACATGCCTTCGAGGCCACTGCCCCACTCCAGTTACTGGAACAGACTGGTGTCTGGTTACTGGCACACACATGCATACACAAAGCTCACTGGTACTCTCCTGCTCCCTCTAGTAGTTCCCTGCTCCACCTCCCACCATGGTCTCACAGTCTCAAAGGCACACATACATACAAGGGGTTGAGAGTCCACTGCTCTCCCCATAGACAAACCACTGTGGTCTTGCCCTTAGAGCCACACATTCATCAGCAGCCTCACCCTTACAGAATCCCCAGATCCCACAGTGTCTTGGCAGCCAGCTGGACTCAGTCACCCAACAGTGAGCTCCCCTTCTGGTCTCTCCCTAAGAGAGGCACACATGCCAGGCCACTTCACCTACACACAGGCTAGTCTGGCTTGCTCTTCACTAACACTCACTGTAATTGTTGGCACTATAGAGACATGGGCTTCTGATTTCTGGTCCTACCCCACTGCCCGGTTTTGCT